ATAGTTTGTTTGTTTGTTGTTTGTTCTCGCACTCGCTGCGCTTTTTACACTTGCCTCGCGCTCCGTGCTCCGTGCCCGTGCCCGTGCCCAGTGGCCTCTACTGCAAGTGTAAAGTTTGAAATTAGTTTGGAAAAGTGTCGAAAAAGAGCACACCACTTGACAGTTTTTGTCAACACGGCGGACCCGAGCCGATCGTTCTTGATAATCGAATAATTCCCCCCATCAAAAGGAATACAAAAACAACAAGCCGTGAACAGAGCCGTGCCCACACATGCACACCAATGCAGAGTTTCCCCTGATCCTGGATTGGGCTTCCATTTGGTTTTTTGTTTCCACACGCTGCACCAAGCGAAAACAGATTTTGTTTATCGCTTGGAGGATGTTTCTTTATAAGCCAATAATTCCCCTAAAAAACCCTGAATAGTGCACACACACACACACAGACATAAATTCACAAATTTCCCTCAATCTCCATAACCTCACATCGATTTGATCCTGGTTTTCGGGGTTCTATGGCATTCACCTGAGTCCCGGCCGCCGTCTCGTTTTGCATTCCGTTTCACCTTTAATTGCGCCCCCATCCTACCCCTACCCCTACCCTTTGGCCTTGCGGTTTCCTCGTTCTTTCTGCTTTTCCAGGGTGCGCTCCACGAAGGGGGGATGGGGTGGGAAGCATTTCAGTTTTTGGGCAAGTACGCCTTGGGGCGCCATAAAATGTTTAATAAATTGCAAAAGTGCGCCAAAAGTGCCAAAAGGAAGAATACTGAATAGAGAGAACAGAGCAAAAGGGAGAGCGAGCAACACAACAGACGTCCCCAAGTCAACGACTCCTCCTCATACACGGATGCCCACGCACACGCATACAAAACATATTCTAATGAAGTTCAAGTGGAAAGCCCAACCAAGGCAGAGGCAGGGGCAGCGGGGGCGTGGCATACACTGGCCACACTCTGCTCTGCTCTCTGGCATTCGTGGCACGTAAAATGTATTGAATAATTACATTCGGGGCCGCCTAACGGCATACGAAATGAGGCATACACTCCGAGGTGGAGTCAAAGTCGAGGTCGGTCGTTCGGTCGGTCGCCACTCGCGAGCCCCAAAACACACGAGACAAGTGCCACCGGCCACCGGACATTAGCCACGCCTCCCCCCCTTTCGTTTGCGCCTGCTGCCCCTTGGTCCTGCTGTCATGTAATGAGCGCCGCCAGGCATTGAAAATTTCGAAAAACGCCGCAGGAAATAAACTTTTTCGAGTGGTACCCTCCCCGGCGGTAACAGCGAAGAAGCGACGAGGGTAACAGATAAAGATTGATGAATCCACAGAAATGCATTTCGCTTTAAAATTGAATTTCGTTGGAACTAGCAGGGCAGTGGAAGTGGAGTGGAGTGGAGTGAGCAGGCAGAAGAGTGGCAGGGGGATAATCGGAGGCCGATGGCCTTTAAGTAGTGCTAAAGTATCAATCAAAATGCGTGCCCTCACAATAATCATGACGGAATTACGCTGAAATCTCCGAAGGTGAAGGAGCGGAGCTGCCTGCCAACCTTAAACTCAATCTCCAACTGATTCCCCCCCACTCTCGCAGAGAGGAAAGATCTGAGAAAACGGTTACCGAATCAGAAACAACAAAATGGGAACACAAAAGATGATTTATCATTACAAGAATATCAGAGGGGGGAGCGAGAGCCCACTGCCAGAGTTGGAGAGCCCAGAAGGGCAGAGAGCGCGGGGTGCACAGGCTGAGGGCGGGGATTTACAAATTGGATTGCCCCAGGGGATCGGAAAAACGGGATGCGAGAGGTGAGAAATGTTCCCAAGGGGTGCACGAAAGAGAAGGAAAATCAAGAAAAACTAAAAGCAAAGTTTAGAAAATATGGGTATGGGAAAATATGGGAACCAGAGGTGGATATCCCTTCCAGATATACTGAACCAAAAAGTTAAGAAAACAGAGCATATTATTACACACGATTAGGATTTTTTCACGAATATATTTACCCTATAATCTCAGGGAATAAATTACAGCTGGCAACACAGATGACATTTTAGTCGAATGAAGTCACTAAACTGAATAACTTTAATCAACAAATTAATTCTATGATGGAACTTTATCACTGGCAATCAATCACTTAAGTTTCACTCACAATCGAAAGACATTTAAGGGAAATCCCTTTAAAGGTACAAAACATAACAGTAGTAAAGTACATAATTCCATTAAGACCCAGCCCAGATAACCAGACCGATCCAAAATACGAGTATGTCCGGTAACAGGGAGTCCCAGTCCATTCCATTCCATTCCTTCAGGCGAATATAAATTCCTGCCAAAATTCCAGCAAAAGTTTCTTGGATTTTCACTTTCTGAAAAGTTGTTTACCCACGGCTAACCAACCTGGTGGAAATTCATTTTCTATGCTCTGGCTCGCAAAGAAAAACCCCTGGAAAATGCCAGAGAAGTACAAATGCTGCTCTGCTCTGCTCCTAACTCCGGACGAGAACAATGTCAATGTTTTAATTTATTTAAAATCAATTTACGCAAAATCTTTTCCGAATTCTTTGCCAGTCAGTGGCGTATGCAGAGGGGGAGCTGAGGTGGGAGCAGAGTTAGAGGCGGAGGAGCCAGAGTTGGCGTCTCGTCTGGGAGGCTGGATCCGGCGGAGTCAGAGGCGAGGCTCTGCTTAGAGCTCAGCAAAGTGCTTTTGGTAGCACTGGAAAATCCTGCATAATTTAATTGTGCTGTTGTCGGTGCTAGTTACTCTGTCTCTGTCTCTGCCTCTGTCCCTGTTATCCCTGGATTCCTGACTCCCCACCTCCCACTGCTATGTTCCCCCCCGCATCTGTCTGTTGGCGGTCTGTTTCTGTTTGTTGTCTTGCCGCTTGTAGCAACATTCGCTCCATGACTCCCACTTTCGACTGCGTAGTCAGTGCAGCACTGCAGCAAGCTCTCTTTAATCCACATGCGACTGCCGCAAAACTCTGCCACGCTGTGGCACGGAGCAGACAGGTGACTGGGCCCCCAGACTCAGCCTGGGTTTTCGGGTGGCTTCTGAGGCTTCTTTGCGGTCCACTTGGCATCATCCATCGGCAAGGAGACCACAATTACTGTGTTTACTTCTAGTTTTATTGCCGGTACTCCGTACTCTTGGCTTCCGTTCTGGCAGTTAATTAAGTTTCTACGGCAAAGGTGGGAAATCTTTAACTTTGGATCAATCGGGCAGGCAGGCAGGCAGGCCGGCAGACAGACAGCAACTACTCGCAGCAGACCATTTGATGGCGTTTTTTTTTTGGGAACGATTCCTCAAGTGGTGACACGGTGACCCCCGCTCCAAAATCTAGGCAGACAAATCCATTAGCATTAAATGGCTGCGGCTGTAAACGCTGTAGGGGATTCGAATCGAATCGAATGGAATCTTTAATAATCTACAAATGGAACCAGTCGCAGCTGAAAGATTCGTTAAATGCTCGGGGGACGGACACAGAGCAGAGCTCAACTCCACACAGAACGGTTCAATGGAACTGGAAATATAATACAATTTTCGGGGGATGATGACGATGATGTGTGCTGTGCCGCCTCGACCCCCGCTCCGACCCGATCCGACCGATTGTTGCTTGTATTGTTGTTGCTTTTGTTGCCTGGTGTCATTGTTGTTGTTGCTGTTGCTGCCATGCGGGGTTTCTGCTAGGGATCCCCGACCCCGCCAAGCAGACGTACAAATGATTTTGATTTCAATTTTTACTCCCCCTTTTGTTTGCCAGCAAAAACTATAACTTCCCCTGGCAGCCGCCCCTGCCCATGCCCCACAGCCACGATGCTATGCCAGAGATATGTACCCTATGCAATCGGGAAATATTTGATGAGAAGTAGACAAATTTTATTGTGGCAATGTTCCATTAATGCCACAGATGGGGGTACATGGCTGTGTGTGTGTGTCTGCACTGAATGCCAAAGTTAATAAATTCAAAACACTTGAAAATTTCATTTTGGCATATTAAATTTCACGAAAAGAAAACGAAAAACCCCCAAACAGGAGCCCAGTCGAAAGGAGTAACGATGGGAAAAGGACAAGGAAAAGGCCAGGGAAAAACTCAGTCAGGCACGGCGCCCATGAGTGCTTCCTCCTCCTCCTCCTCCAGCTCCAGCTCCACCTCCAGCTCCACGTCCAGCTCCACCTCCAGCTCCACCACTTCTCCCAGCCGGTAGAAGTCACACAAAAATTTACATATGAAAGCCTGAATGGCTGCCTCAGAGCCGTGGCAAGTTGGGGGCTGATGGGGAGACGCCACAGGCACATGCAGACAGCATACATGCAGCTCGTGTCGCTATCGTCGTCCTCGTGGGGTATTTGCAATTGCCAGCGAAGTATTAATGGCAGCATTTGAATAACAATGCAGCAGCGGATTCGATGTGAATGTGAATGTAAATCTGTATGGATGGCCCTGTCGCCTCCGACAGGGCAAACGACATGAATCGACCAATCTCCCAGCGGCAGGTCCCACTACAATGCCACCTCTGCGGGCCCCTATTAATGCCTAGCAACGCACTAATTTGAACTGCATTTGGGAGGAGTCAGTAATGTGTGGCAAGCGATCCGCCCAGTGTTCGTTTCTTTATCGCAAAACACAGGCCAACAGAGCCTCAGAAAATCCGGCGTAGATATATCTAGGGGGGAAATGCATTTGCAACCTTTGAGCGGGTTGCCTCCTATTAGTGTCGGATCGCGCGTCCAGTCAGAGGAGAATTCCAGGAACATTCTGCCTCGGCTGGTGGTGGCAGCCCACGTAGCATAATGAGCACAGAATTCAGAGGAATTTCGCCAGTGGACGACAGCGAAGAGAATTCATTAAGGGTCTGGTATGGAGCTGTTCTGGTCTTGGCTCAGACTCTGAAATATGCAAACGTCATTCGGATGCTGTTAATTATGGATCCCAGAGGGTTCTCGTTGATTTCATGGGACCCCAAAACAATAATCACAACACAGACACAATTCGTTTTTGTATCAACTGGATCAGCTGCATTTTAGTCACAGATTTTGGTGTCAGATTTTAGTCTTTACACAAAAAAATTTCCTGTACAAATTTCAAAAGAGATTCCGCATTAAAATGCTAAAATACGCAAACTTTTGGCAGCTGTTGGCCGTCGTCGTGCTTCTGCAGGTGCAGGGTAAGTGCCAGTGCCAGTTCCACTCCATTTCCGCTGACCTTTCGATCCTCTCTGCAGGTCTGCGGGGCCAGTGCGCCGACTGCAGCCAACATTGGGGGTATCCGTGCAAGGCCAATGTCACCGGCTACTACTGTGCCCCGGGATCCGCCATCGATACGGTTCCCCTGGTGCAGTCGGACTACGAGACGAGCACCATAGATCCCATGGACATCTACAAGCAGTGCACGCCCTATCCCTTCTCTCTCAGTTCGTACTGCTCCAGATTCTACCCTCTACCCTCTATCTCTATCCCCCCATGCCCATTCTCATCCTCATCTCTGTGTTCCTTCCGCAGATAAAATCGGCAGCTACTGCTGCGTCTACTCCCCGAAGATCGGCTGCCAGGCGGCCATCAACACCCACATGTACAGGTACGAGTCCAATCCCGTGGTCTACTGCAAGCGCTGCATCGACCGCTGCCTCTGCGACAGGGGCGGCAGCGGCCACTATCGGGCAAGGCCCTGGCAATCGGGCAGACTTCTGATCGGTGTCCTGGGCATCATGGCCGTGGGACTGCACATGTAGCAGGCATAGCCCTCCAATGATAAATTTAAATGTGAATTCTGGCTCTAAATTCTGGCTCTAAGTTCTGGCTGTAAATTCTGGCTGTAAATTCTGGCTATAAATTCTGGCTCTAAGTTCTGGCTGTAAATTCTGGCTGTAAATTCTGGTGTTAACAAATCAAAAAGAAAAGTGTTCAAGATCGCCCCAACTGCATTCTATATCTGGGACCATTCTGTGTCCCAGAACTTATCCTAAAAGTGCCTCAGAAACCATCAATTAAGAGATGAAACTGCGGCAACATTTGAGGGCTCAACGATGAAGGAACTAAGACAGGAGGTGTGTCCCATCGAAATGGAAACTTTGCGTCAAGTTTTTGTGTGGCGAAGACGAAACAGTTTCGCCAGTTTCCCCATGACAGAAACAATCAAACATCCGCAGCCACTGAATGACAGGAATCCATGGGTCATCTTCCTGCTTCCTGCCGTTTTGCAGGGTGGTTGGGTGTGCGCGTACCTCTAATCAAATTAAATGTATCCCCCCGTCAGATAGATGGCAAATAAAACGTTGCACAGAGGAGTTTCAGTTGAGGCCAGGCCAGGCCAGGCCAGGACAACTGTCCCTTTGGCCAATACACTTGAGTGATTGAACATGAAACCATTGGGCAGCAAACTGCTGGCCAGACACTGGCCAGTTCAGTTACCAAGGCACTAATCAGGCGGCTTGGACTTGGACTTGAAGTTGGAGTTGGACCTGGCCCTTGTCGGAGGGCTAAGTGAGAAAGTGTCCCGGCCAGGCTGCAGTACGTGACTGGGAACATTATTGTTTGCTTATCTACACTTAATTGCTTCTGGCTACACTTAATAATATGGTGGTGTTCTCTACACACACACAGTCAGCCAGCTAGCTAGCTCTCGGTGGGCTCTCTCTATGAGGAACCCAGAGGCCCATAGTCAATGGGCATCGTCATCGTCATCGTGTTGCCGTAGCAAAGTCATCTCCACCCCCATTGTCACAATCAGGAGAGCGAGAGAAACGAGTCGACTCGACTCGACTCTATCTTGGGGCACGTTGTTTGTTCGGTTTCCCAGTTTGCGTTGGTCGGGCACCGTCATCGTCATCGTCCGTCTCTGGGCTCTGGCTCTTTGGCAGCATTTCCATTCAGCTTGAGATTTGTTGCACTATAAAAAGGGCTTCTTGGAGACTCGTCTCTGGTCGCTCGTCCCTCGTCGCGTCTCCCCTTTGCTTTGGTTCTTCGCATTGTATTCTGTTGCATGCTGCTGGCGAGCTATTTGTTTGCCTCGTCGTCCGTTGTCTTTTCTTTGGCATTCCTTCTTTCTGTTCTCTCTGTTCTTTTTGGGTTTCTTTCTTTTTTTCTCTCTCTCAATTTTGTGGGATGAAAAATTTCATTGGAATTGGTTTTTATTCGTGGGGGCCCCGCCTCTTCTGATTTCTGATGGATTTCTTTTCTTTTTTTTGGTTCGGGAGGTACAAATTGTGTGACGCTAATGGGGCACACGGCACTGGACATTGCATGTGGCTGTGTGTGCGTGTGTGTCTGTGTGTGTGGGGTTGACATGCCTCATTAGCTACGAAGATCAAAAAGATTGAAGTAGTTTTCGGTCATATGACACCACAGTCGCGACGCATCGGGATCGATTCCTTGATTGAATGCTGCTCCCCCCCTCCCGTTGGAAATATTCGTAATTTTCCGACTCAACAATTAATTATGTTTTTGGCCACAATATTGGCCACGCCCCCTTGGCCTGCAATGCAATTTCACTGCCATTCAACATTTTTCCCATTTTCATCCACAACCAATTCCCTTTCTTCCCTTCTTTCACTCTGTTTTCCCCTTGGATTTCCCTCCCTTTCATTTCCATTTCCTTTTTCACTTTCTGTTCCATTTCCCAGCATCCTCCATTCCATCCAGCCATCCATCCATTCCGCGTCCCGTTCTATCCGCCGAGAGCCTAATTGTTACGAATTTGCACGCCTCCAGGAGGGGCAGGGGATGGGCCCTAACTCCAGTTAGGGGTAGGAGTAGGCATAGGAGTAGCTATGCGGGAGCCACAGAAGACAATGGATGGATGGCCTGCTCGGGAACGAGAAAAGGAAATCAAAGAGTCAAAAAGTAAAATGAAAAGGAAAAACCATTTCTGAAGCTTGAAACCTTGAATGGATACCCTCGCTGGATCATGGCTTCCAAATGAGCTGCAACATGCATATGGGATATGGAAATCTACATCTGATGGGACCCATAATACCTAATACAAGGGAAAAGTTCTACTCCCTTTCTTCTTGCATTCATCTTCACTGTGACAATTGCTAATTTAACTGTGTGTGTGTGTGCCAGTGTGTGTGTGGCACATTCTACCCTCTCTTCTCCCTCTTCTGGTTGCAATTAGTGGGTGTGGCACTGCTGCTGCCCAGGAAGTGCGTGACTTGCAGTCGACATGTTGTATGTGCGTGTGTGTGTGTCTATGTGTGTGTGTTTATGTATTTGTGGGAAAATCAATTGAACAACAGACGCAGAAAGAGGGGATGGCATGGGGAGAGGGGAGCAGCAGCATTCATAGATGTGGTGGTGGGGGGGGCATCCAAGGGTGGCTGCTGCTGCTGCTGCTGCTGTTGTTGCACGACCAATAATCAGGCTAATAAACATTTCATTCACAGGCATCATTGAGCCGGGACCCAATCATAACAATGTCGGCGTCGTCTGCCGCTGCCGCTGCCTCTGCCAAATGTTCAATAGGATCAATGGCAAAACAAAGACCCCCATGCCACCCCTCACCCCCCACTCCCGGCCGCCTAGCCGCCTAGCCCCCTAGCAACATATGGGTGGCAAGAGACGATTGCTTTCCCTTTCAACGCTCGATGGCCTGTCATAATATGGGGGCCCGAGACCCACAAATAAACCGGAAATTATTGTTTTTTTTGCTTTTTCTCTTTTGGTTTCTTCTGCGCCAGACACAAGTTTTTCCTTTCTTCGATGCCGTTTGCCAGGGCAACGCAAATGACGGGGTTGGGGCGAGGGCTGGATGAAAGCTTACCCCCCACACATATACCTAGGGCTTATCCATATCAAGTGTATGGCTGGCAGAAATTTTAGTTTACTCCATGGACAGCATGCGGAAAAGTAGATCTCCGGTTTGGCATTTGTTCACCTACCTGGAAGAGAGAAGAGAAAATTTCAGATTTAGTTTATCTGCGAGATATTCTTGAAAGGGAGCTTTAATTTAGCGGGTGCGCCACGAAAAGTTAAAGATAAAGATACAAAATTGTGAGCACTTTCTCCTGTCCCCCCCGCGACTCCCTTTGGCGGGACTTTTCCGCCAGACATCTGCTCGTTGCAATCAAAACAAGAACAATAGAACAACCTACAGGCCGCCACCCCTTTCCCCTTTCCCCTTCCCATTCGGTGAATCTACCCCCAAAAGAAGTGGTTAATCCCCCGCAAAACCCTGACGATTAACCAGCCCAAAAACCCAACCCAAACCAAGTCGAGCCGAACCGAAGCGAACCGCAGTGAAAATTGCAGCCGAAAAGAAATGCCCGCCGAATGCCAGATAACAACTGCAGATATCGGAGGAGTATCCGCACGTTTAACTGGAGGTATATGAACCGCTGTAACTGTAACAAAAGACCGACCCGGGCCATCAAATGTGTGTGTGTGTGTGTGTGTGTGTGGGCACAAAATGCGAGTAAAACAATTCCAATTAAAGCGATACGACAGGAACTGCAAAGGCGCAGAATGGTCCCTGGTCCTGGTCGCTGTGTAGTATGAGTACGAGTACGAGTATTGTAGGTAGAAGGAAGTGTACGCATCGCCAGGGGGGGGGGGAGAGGCACAGCCAAGGGGTTAACCGGAAGGGCAAGCAACGACTGGGCAGGCCAGTCAGAAAGTCATGGGAAATCCAATTGCAGACGGACGGGCCACAACTAAAATATATTTATATTTGTATTTTCAGATGGGATTAAAGTTGCCAAAGGGCAGCAGCAGCACAGAAATTGCATATCCAATGAGCGGAAGAGCGGAAGTGGAAAAGTGCATTAAAAGGGGCACGGGCACGGGCACGGGAACGGGAACGGGTGGGGGCGCAAAGGTTAACCAGGAGGCGGAGCGAACCGGCAACAACAACTGTCGAAACTCTCACGATGTCCCAATAAATACACTGAGCGAAAGGGCAACGGGGGTGGTTGCTGCCGGGCTCTCGGCTGGCTCCATGGTGCTTAAGCCATGATGCCATCCCGCTCTAACCCAATCGAGCGCCCACCTCTAACCCTGTATGGCCTCTACGGCGGTCAATCAGTTTACAACAATAACAATTTCTGAAGGGTCAACACGTGGTCCACATCCACTCATCCGCCTACATCCGCATCCAGGGGCAGCAAGGGGTTGTCGACTCCGTGGCGGGCATTTTGTATATTCAATTAGCCGCTGCCTCCATGTCGAACATTTCCTCTAACTCAATGGAGTGGCAGTGAGGCAGTGGCAGTGTGGCAGTGGCAGTGTGGCAGTGGCAGTGGTGGTTGGGTGCCTGCCTACCCTACCCACTTCTTGTTTGTTTTGCATTTCTAATGCAATTTGCGGCTGCATCGCTTTTGTTGCCGGTTGCCGGTTGATGTTGCCGGTTGCTGTTGCTGTAGCTGTTGCGCCCCCAAATCGTGTGTGTGGCGTGTCGTGTCCATTAGCACCTTGATGCTCATAATACATATTCATTAATTTGCCAGGCCATCATCCCCACTGAATGGACTGAATGGTTGGTGTTTCCTTTCTTCCCTTTCCCGCTGAATGGGAGCTTCCTTTCTTCCCTTTCCCTTTGACTGGGAGCTTCCCTTCCGCCCTCACCAAATGGCAGCTTTGTGGCTGAGCTGGACAGAGCTTTAATTACCCCCTTCATAGGGGGGTGAGAATGAAAGGGCGCTCTCAGGTCAAGCTCTTTAATTGCTGGCCGTAATGGATATGCACATATTCTTCCTTTCAGCCAATCCTCAGCCCCAGTCCCAGCCCCATTCCCATTCCCAGCCCCAGTTCCAGTCCCATCCAACTTCTCTGCCAGCATCTTATCCGTAACTTAACCACTTTGTCCTCACAGTCACCGCAAAATGTTCCCATTCATTAAACTTTCGGAAGTGAAGGGCGTAACTCCAGCAAAGGCATCGCCCCCAAGGGCAGCATCTCGATTGACTATTGTAATTATCCAACCACCCACAGCCCACTGCCCATGGCCCATAGCCCATACCTATAGCTATCCCTGGTATCCCTGGGTACTCCCAGCCACCCACCTGGCAGCCGAAGCTTCCGCTGGACGTGCCACCTTTCTGTCTTTCACATTAGTTAAAGCTTGCGGCTTGCAGGCGGCAGCAATAAAACAACTTGAAACACAGCAAAACACTTAAGCGCAACACTTTTAATTTTCCAGTGGCCCATCCACAAAAGGGGTCTTAGAATAGCCACCCCACCCCCGCCCCTCCCTCATGCCAGCAGCCACGTTGTGGGTTAGTTTTTCGGATGGGCGTTGGGTGTGGGGGGCTGTAACTGAACTTGAAACTGATGCCCGGCACGTGGACATGACGAGAACATGACGCCCCCCGCCCGCCGCCAA